GCGGTGTAACAAAGCTAAAATAGATTTACAAATGGGGTTTTAGAGGATAAGCTCCTCCACAGGATTACATATTGATTTTAAATATAAAAAGCTTATCATATAAACCATAACTACAAAAATAGTGAACCTATGCATAAATCCTTTTAGAAGAGCACCCACTTCAAACTAGAAGCCAAGGAGGAATCAAGATGTACCGAATCCTAAAGCAGATCCATTTCTTGGGCAGAAAATGAACACACTACCCCAAGGTGTGCAAAAATGAACTTATCTTTTCTAAGGAGGCATTAAATCGCGAAGAAGGAAGAAAAGAAAAGGAAAAAAAGAAAAGCGCACGAGGGAAGGCAGCTGAAGTAAGGGCATCCTGCCCCTCGGCTCCCTCCCAACATGGCAAAAAGCAAGCTCGGAGACGCATAATCTTGTTTACGTGAGACAGACGCCTTCCAAACAGACAGACCAAATGCCTTTCCATTTCCGCGTGTTAAAACAAACCCAGTAACCTATATTTTCTTTGGCCTATTATGCAAGTATTTCAGGCCTTTCTCGGGCAGAGCGGTTTGCGCAGCAAACTCCCGCGTACGGCTACGACCGCGGCACAGCTCCGAGAAGGCAGCGCTCTCCTCTCTCCTCCTGATCTCTACAGCTAACCGGGGGCTGGCGGCGGGGGGGGGAAGTATTCCTTTTTTTTTCTTTTTTAAACCACCGTTGGTCATTCCTGTGTTCTGCGTGAAGCGCTTTAGCACTCCAAAAGGCTATTCAGCCGCATCTGCATCCATTTTAGCGGTCGGCAAAGGTGGTTGGGGGGGCGCCTTTATCTGCGATCAGCAGGCCGCTACCTTTTGCAAGGCTTTTCTTTTCCTTTTCTTTTCTTTTTTTTTTTTTTTGGCCTGTCATCCACTAGCAAAGTGAATTGGTTGATAGATTTTTAAACAGCACAGTCACGCGTGGAAGAGTTAGAGCAATTCCCCAGCACACTAATTATCACCTTCCAAAGAGATTTCTTTTTTGAACGTTCCAGTTTGGGTTGGTGCGCGCTGCCTGCCGATCCTTCCCTTCAGACAAACACACGCGCACAGCGCCCAACCTGTCCCGTCCTGTCGTTTTTTCTTTCTTTTTCTTTTTTTCCTTCCCCCCCCGCCCCCGGTGCCCATTAGTTTTCGGTGTGGAAGCGGCGCAGGCAGAGGCGCGAGCTGTCTTCTCGGCTCTCTCGCGGAGTCCTACTGCTCATTAGCAATCGGCTAAACGGGCCTCCGAGCACGCAGCGCTGCGCTGCGCTGCCCCGGCAGCCGGTTCTCCCGCGGCGAAACCTTACGGTAAATGGGCCGCTTCTCCTGGGGCTCCCAAAAAAGTGCTTCTTTGCACCCGAGCGTATGTGCCACCCTCCACGCATCTAGAGGCAACGGGTCGCAAGTAGGGGTTCGGACGTTTTAGAAGGGCTTCCTTGGCAGCGCCGCTCTCTTGATACGGTTTTAGGGGCAAGCAGATAGCTGCTGAAGCTTCTAGCTGCGTAACGAGCTTGGTGAGGTTTAAAATGCCAAACACAGACTTTGTTGTATAAATAAAACAGGAAACCGAAATTTTCCAGCATCTATGTTTTCTCCCTAAACTGCTGTCTACCGTATCGCTAGTAGCACCAAAAAAAAACAACAAAAAAAGGGAAGAATTAAAAAAAGATCCTTCTGGGTTTTGGCATCTCTCTCCGAACTTACAAACAAAAAAAAATTAAAAAGGACAGATTTTTATTCAAATGAATGCGTGAATGGCATATTCTGCTAGACATTCAAAGGCTGCTGCTATGACGTTTATGACGTTCCAAGACAGCAAAACATGTAAGAGGCAACTAAGCATTTAAATTTAAGATTCAGATCCAGTATCTCTAACTCTTCCTTAGTTTCAGAATATTTTCTGTTTTAAATATTTCATTAACATGATTCCCAATTAATCTGATCTTGCCTTTGCAGAAGGTAATATATATATTTATGACTCAAGTTTATCCAAGAATGTGGTGAACGTAGTCTTATGCAAAAATATAGCCACAGATGGAGAGATATGAAAAAGCTACCTGAAACCTGCTACTTTTGTTTGTTTGTTTGTTTGTTTTCCCCCCTGCAAACTTATGCTCCCAGTGAAGTCTCCAAACTAATTAGAATTGATTTATTATGGATCAGGTACCTTATCAGGTGAAGAAAGAAATTACCATGGACAGTCAAAGGGTTAAGAGGTCAATACAGAATAGCAAAATCAATTTGCATTGATTAGACAAAAGGTCCATTTTACGGAGCCCAAAGGATTAACTTTTAAGCAAACATCTTTGAACTATAAGACAGCATTTGTGACTGAGAGGTATAAGCAGTGCAGCATTATAAAACACTTAAGATATTTAAATAAGAAAATAATGCAAGCAATGGTTTAAGCTATCTAGATGTTTATTTTTTATTATGAATCATCCCTGGGATTATTGTACAATTCACCTGAAAGCCCCATGGAAAGTATGCGATTGTTTCATTTATCCCGCGTGTCAATCTTCCCATGAGCTTTCATTCAGGTAAGGTGACTAAACTCCGGAGAGTTGCAGAGAATGGAGAAAATATGTGCAAAGGATTGCACTAATCCTGATGTTGCTTGTGATGAAATATTTACTTGGCACACACAGTGTTTTACCACAAAGACCGATGAGATTTTTTTCTCCCCCCCCCCACCCCGCCCAGTGCGACAGGGTGCAAAACATATCCAGAATGCAAAAGGAAGGAGCCTCCCTTAATGTGGGTCACCCCTTCCGTTTCTGCGGTACCAAAAGCAGCGTGATGCTGCGGGGAAGCCGCCACCGCGCCGCTGCGACACAAAGAACAAGCCCTCGACAACTATTCTTTACTTCCTCCTCACTTTCGTTTGCAGTTCATTCCAATGAGACTGTATTTCTCTGTCCCACCTTGGACTTTTCCCCCCCTCACCCCTTGCCTTTTTTGAGTAAAACCCAAGAGCGGCAGTGCAGACGCAGCGCATCCGTTGCACGCTCTCGCGGGGAGGGATGCAGACACCGGCCCTAGTTCCCAGCGAGGCGCCCGAGCAGCCTCCCCGCTAAGCAACTTCAGGTGGTTCCCTCTGGCAGCCAGCATTTCCTTTCCCTCGGTACCAAGCATGGCTCTTACCTTCGATAGCAAGCATTGCTCTTAACTCCCGGTTCATTTTTTTCAGCAGTTCGTAGCGCCTTTCTATGTCATGTTCCTTTTCCCTAGGCAAGTGGCAAAAGTTCATCAATATGTTAATTACTAAATCATTAAACACTTACAAGAACCTTTAACTTGCATTGATTTTAGGACTCATAACCGACTTTTCTCTTTAACTTTAAGCTACTCCAACCAAACGATACACAAACTTAAAACCTTGCTCAGGTGGCGTGACCCGTAACAGGGCCTTTTCGGTTTCTATGAGGTCGCCTTTAATCCCGCCAGTTTTAACTCTAGCGTACGGCAGGACGTCAAAATTACATATGCAGCCTCGGAGCAGCTCGTGCGGAGCGTCCCGCGTATAAAACGCTCCCCCGTTTCTAATGAACAAATTCCAGCATCAGGCTAGTCACCAAGCTAATATAACGCTGGCGCTATTATCCGGCATCCATTCTGACCTAATGAATAACGAAAATTAGACACGGGATTAGAAAGCTCAATGTTTGGAGGTAGAGTCTTCGATCAAGTTCAGACACGGTAGGAAATTCGGGAAGGCACATTCTTCCCTGGGCGGGAGAAGGGAAGTAGGCCGAGATCTACGCTAGGTGGCATACTAAAAGAAAAATAATCACGAAAGCAGGAGAAACTCAGAAAAGCGGCGCTGGCGGCAGCACGCCGCTGGGCCAGGAGGCAGGCTCCGCGCCGCCCTCCCCGGCGCCCGAGAGGAAAAGTTGGGTTGTCCTCTGGGTACCTGCCTCGCTTTGCCGCGTCTGTGATAACATCACGCCGCGGCCGCTTCGCTAATATCCCGCCAGCAATCCAGCGCTGCTAAACCAGCCACGGGATTTCCTGTTTCTCTAAAGCAGCTACCGACTTCGGGTTCGGTTGCTCTCCGAACTGCCTCCGCCTGGCGCATCTGGAGCGCAGTCGGGAGCTACCTGCGCAGTGCAGTGCCGTCCTGCTGTTTGGCCTTGGGAAAACACAGCTGCTCTTAACGTTTCATAATTTTTTCACAGCTCTGGCTAATCTCGTGTCATTGCACGCTTTCCATTTTCAAGGCTGAAATACGAGAGGAACGAGTGGCCCGGTGTGTTCAACAAACCACCCGTACCGCTCCTCTCTGAGGGAACATCTGGAAGTCCAACGGGAAGAAGAGGGGTTTTGCACCTGTACCGTGGGTAGTGGGCACCCCCCCCCGTACGTCAGCCTTTTGTGAATACGCGTATCCATCCATACTTACAGGAGAGAAAGCTGGTTCATCCGTCTTATTAAGGCATTTTTCTTATTAACCAGCATGAACCACTCCTGCATCATAGCTTCCTCCTCTTCTGTGTTTCTCCCTGCAACAGAACGTGCTTCGTTACTTACAGGACATTTCCCAAGCTGAACAACGCATTTCAATTCGCTTCTTGGAGTACCCGTCTCTAATATCACGGAGCGGTGCAAGGCAGATTCTCAAGTGGTAGAAACACTGTGAGACAAAAACATCCTGACGCCCTGCAGCCCGGTGCCGTTTGCACCCGCAGTGCCTTCCCCAGCGCTTGCCCCCTGACGCCC